TACTTTGTGAAGTAAATAATCCTCCAATCCTTTAGTGAATCACCCCCTGTATAGCTGCTGAATCCTGCGATAAATACATTCACAGGCTATGTTTTAGAGGCTTTAGTGTTTTAGCAGTAACAACTCTCTCAAGTTCCAGATCAAGGAATTAAACATTTTACACACTTTTTGTGAATGTTACCAGAAGTTCACTTATTTAACTAGTATGTAAAGAATACCTAATGGTATTTTGTATACAGTAGGGAATAGGCAATACCCTGTAAGGGTCTATATTGGACACCTGTTCCACCATTGGAAGATTACCCCTTTATTTCTGTTCCAGTGACTACTGTAAAAAATGTGCATTTCCTATCACTTTTTGTCCCAGCAACAAGGGCTACCAGGACAAATCTAAGGTAAATGTCCCCCAAGGGAAACAGACAACAGTAAAGCTGGCCACACACCTTACAATTATCTGCAGATTTTCTATGGTCAGATGGAAAAGGTGCAACAGATTCTAAACTGTGTGGATGGAGGAATCTCCACCTGTGCCAATCTGTTGCACTTTTTACATCTGACCACAGAAAATCTGCAGATAATTGTAAGGCTGGGCACACACCTTACAGGAGTTCTAACAGTTCCACACTATATACCAAAAAATGTTGACTTTAGATCCGCTTTTAGGATATGTTTGTAAACTAGCAAAGCCTTTCTCAACCAGGTTGCCGGGGCATGCTGATGTGCCTTCTGGCTTCTTTAGGGGTGCCTCAAAAGTTTATGGTAGTGGGACACTGGCGTGAAAGGGGACGGGGGGAAAACTGATGTGAAAGGGGCCGGGGGGAAAACTGATGTGAAAGGGGCCGGGGGGAAAACTGATGTGAAAGGGGCCGGGGGGAAAACTGATGTGAAAGGGGCCGGGGGGAAAACTGATGTGAAAGGGGCCGGGGGGAAAACTGATGTGAAAGGGGCCGGGGGGAAAACTGATGTGAAAGGGGCCGGGGGGAAAACTGATGTGAAAGGGGCCGGGGGGAAAACTGATGTGAAAGGGGCCGGGGGGAAAACTGATGTGAAAGGGGCCGGGGGGAAAACTGATGTGAAAGGGGCCGGGGGGAAAACTGATGTGAAAGGGGCCGGGGGGAAAACTGATGTGAAAGGGGCCGGGGGGAAAACTGATGTGAAAGGGGCCGGGGGGAAAACTGATGTGAAAGGGGCCGGGGGGAAAACTGATGTGAAAGGGGCCGGGGGGAAAACTGATGTGAAAGGGGCCGGGGGGAAAACTGATGTGAAAGGGGCCGGGGGGAAAACTGATGTGAAAGGGGCCGGGGGGAAAACTGATGTGAAAGGGGCCGGGGGGAAAACTGATGTGAAAGGGGCCGGGGGGAAAACTGATGTGAAAGGGGCCGGGGGGAAAACTGATGTGAAAGGGGCCGGGGGGAAAACTGATGTGAAAGGGGCCGGGGGGAAAACTGATGTGAAAGGGGCCGGGGGGAAAACTGATGTGAAAGGGGCCGGGGGGAAAACTGATGTGAAAGGGGCCGGGGGGAAAACTGATGTGAAAGGGGCCGGGGGGAAAACTGATGTGAAAGGGGCCGGGGGGAAAACTGATGTGAAAGGGGCCGGGGGGAAAACTGATGTGAAAGGGGCCGGGGGGAAAACTGATGTGAAAGGGGCCGGGGGGAAAACTGATGTGAAAGGGGGAGGGGGGAAAACTCTGATGTGAATGGGGGAGGGAAGGGGAAACTGACGTGAAAGGGGGACTACTGATTTGTGTTCTTGCATGGGGTCCCCCTTAAAATCTATGGCATGGTAGACTGTGGTGCCTCTGTATTTTCCATACTTTAAGGGTGCCATGACCAAGGTTGAGAAATGCTGGACTAGCATATAAACCCAATATGTAGGAAGTGCTTGCTTTCTGTACAGACTCTGTAGTGAAGCATGCAAACTTTAAACTGCATATTCAGAAAACATTTTGCAAAGGCTGTAGAGTTGATGAGCAATGTGTCCAGAGCACATTTTCCTTTCTAAAACTGATAATCATGTGGTGCCTGCATGAAATGCCTCAAAACATTGGGGGAAGATTCAATTTGTAAGTAATCATGGGGGGTTTATGAACTAGGTTTAGAGCACCACATTAGGAAGATGTTTCATTCATAAACTATTTTGTTACAATTGCTTGTACATAGATATAAATGGCCACTTTTAAGACATATCTTGCACTCCTTCCCCTTTCTGCTCAGTATGTTTCAGCATATACATTCAACTGGGGGGGGGGATCTGGATAATCAAAGAACTTTCAAAAATAAAGCAGTCAATAAAAACTGGTGAAACTACGAACCGCCAGAAAGTGCAGATTGCAAATTTGGGAAACAATTCCACTTGTTTCACGTTTCCCTCACATGTGACCTCACAAAGTACATAAGGGCCTGAGGTTCACTACACAGTTGCCACAACTACTGTGGGCACATATTACACACACTTGTCCACAATCTGCACCTTCTGGAGCTCCTATACTACTACCAGAGAACAAGAACTGTTGTCGAGTTTTTATTCTCTGGGCAAAGCAAAAAACTTTGAATGAAATGAAAGATTTAGCAGTACATATGCTTGGTACAAAGATTATTCAAAAGGTATAAAATCAATGATATGGCACAGGTATATTTAACTTACAAAACAATTGTGGCACCATTCTTTCTTAAACAAAACAAAAAAAAAGTGTAACAGCACTCACAATGATTTTAATTTATAGCAGCATTTTACACAGTTTGTGTTAAAAAAAAAGAAAAGAAAAATGTATTGAGTAACAAAATGTTTAAATTACAACAATCCTTTGTGCACTCGCTGTATTTACTGATTTGATTATTTACAAAAAAAAATAAAATGCATTTTTACAGAGAATATATGGTTAACACTGAAAAGCAATATTACAACTTATCTACACAGATAATTCTGGAACAATCTGGGGCCCACATTAAATGGGACAATGAGAAAATCATACCAATATCTATACCATACCTCAAGTGTTTTATTGGGAAATGCATTTTAGTAAAGCTTTTATGTTTTAGATGCTGTCTTAAAGATGAAGGACTACAGAAGTTATAAGCCCAATAATTCTCCTGAAGCAGGTCACATACATATATTGGACCTGCTGCATGAAAAAGGTTCTTTTGTTACTTCCCTATATTAGGTTGGAGATAAATTCTGACTAGCAACTAAAAGCAATCAAAACACTTTCTGTAGAACACCTTGTATACATTAGGCTCATTGTTACAAGGTACACACAATGTTTAGGTGACTGATCTCAGAGTATGGTCTACAAATCATTCCAACACAAACCTCTGAGAGGTGGTCATTGTGTGAGTAATAAGATCTGTGGGTAGGAAACCGTGGCTGCTATACTGAAAGTGTAGAGGTGCTGAATTGTTCACAGCCTATGGGGAAGTCTCTGACTCGTGCTCAACAGTGCATTACAGGATACTGCAATGGTCTAAGCAGCCAGAAAAATCTTTTTGCATGGTGATAAATTAATGAAAACACTACACGCATACCATGGATGAGCTGTCACCCGCGTGCAGTGCACGTATGAACAAGGAAACGTGCTAGTCGGAGGCAGGCAAGTAAAATAAAAGGGAGTATTTTCGCTCCATTATAGAACGCCATCACAGATATACAAGTGAAGACATCAATGGCAGACTACTGACTGAAAAAGCTGCTCTGCTAAACATACCTAGGCCAATAGATGCAGAGACAGAAAGTACCATAATCATTTTCTATATACAGATCATTGGCATTTAACCTGAGAGAAGAAAACGGTTTGCTGTGTGTGTATACATGAGAGGAACATCCAAATAATCTTCCATCCAAATTCCTTAGCATTACAGAACTACAAAGATCCACAAGGTTAGACTAACTATATGATATTACCATGGAGAAGAATGGATTGCTTGCCCAGTGTAACATTTAAAAACCAAAATGGAAATTTCTTTGGCATCCTGCACAAAAGCACCGGGCTCTTGGATCTGCATGTATTTTATCTGATGTGGCAATTACATTAATTATGAACATAACATGTGGAAAGTTACATACAAGATGGATATTTTTTTTTTCTTGATTGTTCCGTCGATGAAAAGTAAAAAAACACAGGAAAGTCTGATATTTTAATTGATCCCTTCTGAGCATGAATGATGGAAAATAGACCAGGGTTTATCATGAATGTTTAACTCCCTTGCAAGCATGTTTAATAAATCATATCAATGAGCAGTCTGTACGCAAATCACTACATTCCTCAGCAGGGATCAATCATCTTCGTGTGAACATCAGTCTCCCCTTAGTTTGCTGCTGGCAGAGGTAAAGATACCAGTGTGCACATGAAATTTTCTTTTGACTTCGACTCTTAAGCTCTTCCACCTTTTTCATTAATGTAATAAACATGTTCCAAGTGTCAGATGCAAAGTGCATACACTGGCTATTACTACAAAGTATTTCTAGACTTAAAAAGGTCATTCCATCCAAAACTCCTAATTCAGCTAATATGAACCTACCGTGAGGGAAATATGGGAACTGTAATTCCAGTATTGTCCAGTGTAGGACTTATCTTTGTTCTTCCTTCAGTAAGTGGGAAGTCACTGTAAAGTAAAACGCTTCTGCATACTAGATAGAGACACTATATATAGCTTGTTTCAGCTCTGTGACTCACTAAAAGTGAGGCAAGAACTAGAATCAAAATGAAAGCTCAGAGCCAACACCTTAAAAGTCAGCAGTGAAAGCATCCATATTTCTCTCCTGGCAGGTTTCTTACAGGTTCAATTCCCTTGTAGTTCCTGGGTATGCACTCCTTCTCCATGTTTTCCCTGCTAGAGTCTGAATTTATTTTGTATTAAAGAGAAGCCACCAAGAACTATGTTGAAAGATCTCACTGCTGGCTTCTCCTAAAAATATAAGCCATTAGGTGGATTCAGACCACCATAATGTCACTTTCGAGTGGACTAGCCTTTCAAATTACCAATTCAGATCCAAAGAACCAGTTGCTAGAACAAAAAATTTCTAGAACTAGAAACTCTAATGAACCAAGAATACCCATGTTTAAAGTATAGATGCTGTCCAATTAATAAGTATAGTACATATAAAATACAAGCTGGTTTATTTATTGAGCCACCAATAAAATCCATGTACAGGAGGATACATCCAAATGAGACGTTTAGTAGCCGTTCATCTGCCTGGGTTGTCAGATTAAAAAACCCTAAACATTCAGCCATCATCACAGACACTGCTGTCCTAGGTGCTTGCTGCTGCTCCATCCACGGCCATGACAATTGTGCATGGTTAAGCAGCTATTAAACCCTCTTCTGGATGTACATGGATATTGTCTACAGAAACATTTCACACTTCTTTGCATTTTTCATATGTGAACAACCTTAGAAATGCAGGTGTCACAGGGGCCAATATTTCCTGCAAGAACATGAGGAACAGTCTACAGAGAAGCTATGTATAATAAACGGGAAAAAATACAAAACAGATTAAATTTTGCATAACAATTTTGTCCGGGATAAATGTCAAAAGGACACCCTCATTTCACTGGGGCTTCATATTTATGGTACTAGCCCTGTAAAAGCAGCCCCATACTGGAACGTGTGGATAGCCAGTACTCCAACGTATATCTAAAGAGCTCTGGGACAAAAAAAAAAGGGGGGGCGGGGGATGCATCATATGCATTAGGTGACTAATGTTCCCAAATGGTGCAATATCAAGCTTAACTGCAAACCAAATGTAATTATGCCAAGTTCTGTAAGAGAACTGAACATTTACATCTGAATGTTATTAGCAGCTCTCATCTAAGAGGGCCATGGTTTAGGCATCCTCTAGTCGCATGTTACAATCCAACAGCAAACTAACTGCGCTATCAAAATATGAGTGGGTGTATTGAAGTAGTAAAGCCAGATGTATTGTTCAAATCATTTCTTAAGCATCTCAACTTGAAGGACATTCCCCAAACACCACATATAAAAAAAATTATCAGCACTGCCCCAGGACATTAAAGGAAGGTGAACCAGAGCAGAAACCAACTACTGAGATGGTAAATAGAACTGAGTGCAAAGCTCAGATTGAAATCAACACCCATATTAAAGAGGAGCCGGTGATATTATAGTATCCTCTTTAGTGCTGAACCTGGTGAAGGCCACACTTCTCTCAACCTGAAACCTTTTACACAGCACACTAAAGGCTTATCTTGCATCCAGTAGACGTTAAAGCCCTTTAAGAAACAGCAGTTGTAAAAACTTGCCATGGCACATTAGCCATATTACAATTGTGACAGAACATAAGACAGAAAAAATGGCCATTTAAAGGCATCTAAAAAAATCCATATGGCTTTTGTTGGATGAACACTATTATACATGGTTAAAAAAAAGGGTTGAATTAAGCAAGCAAAATGGTTTGTAGCACATCTTGCAAGAGGATCCAGGTCTAATCATCAGGATGTTTTCATGAGAACACAAAATGGCATCCTCCACACATGAATAGGTAAGGTGCCTTAAAGTGCAGTTTATCTCACACTTGATGGTAAGCTAGAAGTCTGTGCAGAGGTTACATAAAGAGATGTGTTGTCTGATATAGCTGGGACCACAGAGTTTCCATTCGTTGGGGAGCATCCTTTCAGTTTTTCTAAATATTCTGCATGTACAGGCTTGTGGCACTGTAACACTTTCATAGCATCTTCAACTTTAAACCATTCCCTCTTTCGTCCTAAAAATAAATAAATAAAAGTGATTAAACTAAAAGCAGCAATAGTGAATTTCAATATTACAAGCCACATTTGTCTATACCAAAGCTCATGGTATACCTGTCAGAATGTTAAACTTTTTACTAAGGGAATTGTCTTTATTATCAAATGAGATGTGGAAGGCAGATGATTAACTATATTATTAAGTATAACATACAAAAATATTAATTGTTGAGACACATACTCATTAAATTCATTTAGCCTGGCTTTAACTGCAACTTGTATCACAACCCACTGCCTGTGTTGCTATTGCAGTTACCCTTACTTTCTCTGGAGAAAAAAAACCCAAGACCGGATGTGAGGGTAAATCTTCCTAACAGAGCCCAAAGCCAACCAAAAAAGTTTGGCTAGACCTACACTTTTATACTGCATTCATTTGTGCCTTTGATATCTGACTGGAGTTCAGCTTTCAATTAAATACCTAAAGCAGGTTATGCATGTAACAGTTTAAAAACATGAAGAGAAAAAAAAAAGTATGAAAAATATTACATTTCCCGTTTCCTTTCAATTCATTTTGCTGAGTGACGTATCCAACGCCTTTGTTTAATGTAATAAAGAGGCAGTGAGGACAGCAAATGACAGGTGCTGACAACAGAACCAATAAGAGATATCTCCGGTCCCATAACCAGCTTCTTGCATTTAACCAGCAGCAGGTTTTTTTTGGTCACTTGGGTAAAATGTGGGAGCGGGGCAGAGGCAGGAGGGGAAGTGAGGAGGTAGGAACGACAGCCCCCCCCCCTCCCCCCCCCATGCTTCACATAAACACGTACAATCGGCTGGACCAACCTGTCAGTTTAGCTGGCAGGTGCCTATCTGTTTTGCATGCAGTGTGTAAATATGGCAGGCTTGTTTCAAACAAACACATTAATATTGTTACAATGTACATAATTAGTGCTTGTATGTGCAGACAAATGAAAACTTCTTTGATCTGCACAATGTCAATTCTTGGTCCTTTCAAGTGAAAAAAAGTTAATTGTTCCTTTTTAACTGTGTATTAATCCTAAAGCTGGACATACAGTGGTAGAATTTGACAATTCACAGGAATACTGTTTCACATGGATAGAAATGTAAAATCAGAAAAAATACATTTGCTGCCTTGCGCTAGAAGCATATTTACTCACTGTGCCTGTGTCAGACATGGAAGTGACATTAAATCAGTATTAAAAGTGTTATGCGTGTATAAAATAAAGTGACATGTTGGATTACTACTGAATGGATTCAATATGGCCCCTTAAATACCAAAAGAAAACACGTAATGCCATTAGTGGTTCCATGTCAACACAAATACCCAATTTTTGCATTGTACTGGGCTGTTAGGTTTATACAACTTTGCGATTGAGGGCTTTATACCAAGGTTAGAAGTCTTTAAAACTGATGTTTGAATTGCCTTAAAGGAGAACTATGGGGTCAGTGTTTTTCCCCATAGTTCTCCTTGGGGTAACGGGAGTACACAAACTAGCGTCCTCCCGTTACCCTAAGCTCAGTATACCGCGAGCTACAGCTGAGACGCCGCAGCTGGAGCGGATCCCGACATCGATGTCGAGATCCGCCCAGCTGCGTGAGTGACAGCTGGCTCTGCCTATCTAGAGGCAGAGCCAGCTGTAACCGCCCCCTCCCCCATCCGTTCCGCCAGTCAGCGCTGGAGGATCGGAGCGGGGAGGGGCTGGATTCTCTCGATCCTGTCACAGGATCGAGAGGTGAGTGAACGCCGGTATCTGTTCGCTCACCTCCCGATCTACTGAGCCGACCTGTGACAGTCTCATTGTCACAGGTCGGCTAGAACTATGAGGTGAGTGGAAATCACTCATGTCATAGTTCTCCTTTAAGAACAGCAAAAGCTGTTTAAGGTGACATTTGGCCACCAGAGGAACAGCTCATCTAAAAGGAATAAACTAACTGTACATTCAGAGATAATGAGGAAATCCCCACTACTCCAAGCTCCAAAAATAAATCTGAAGAGCTTACCAATGTTAACAGAATCCTCCCAGTCTTCCAGCACTTCCGTTACTGTGAGAACATACACATACGTTCTGTGTTTCCTATCTTGGTTCTGCTTAAATGGGAAAAAGGCACATCTTTAGTGTGACATTTTTATATTAAAGGATTACTATATAATTTTCATATTTATAGGACTCACTCTTGAAGCAGACCTTTTAGGCCCCAAACAGTAAACATCATTGGGGAGCGGGATGTATTTACCTTGCACATCAGCTTCTGCCCCAGGTGCCTAGGGGAGGAAGATGTCATTCTACGGAGATTATAGGAAAGCTGAGGATTTTAAATCTCCCCAGCACAGTGCTTGAGCATTTTCTCAAGAGAGATTAGTATCCTCCGCTTTCCCAGGATGTTGACAAAAAGGCCACGATATCACCCTCACCGAGGTGCCTGTGAAACTCAAGGATTTTGGGAAGAGGAGAGACCAAAGTAATAAAATATTTACCTCAAAAACTCCCAGAAGTCTTCCCAACTTCCCCTTTACACCGGCCTGCAGGAAAAGAATAGTTATTAACAGTAGATTTAATCACAAATAAATACAATAAACCACTCAGATGTTTATCTCTAAACAATGCCACACAAAAGCATACTTGTACCACAATCTTTTGGCAATAAAGATCACGGAGTGGCTGAGCTGTGCATGTGTGGCTGGTGGCCATCTGCATTCTCACACAGAATTGCACAGAGCTTAAACAAGGGATCTAATTTACTTTGGCGATGGAATATTAACAATTTTACTTACCCAATCATGTACGAAGCAAAATTAATTTTCTCATTGAATACCCAATTGCATGAAAATGCTTTTCACATGAATGGATAATTGAATTGAATGTATACAACCTTTTTTAGTGAAGACAACTAGGTTGGCAGGAGATTGCGCTGCATTAGAAACTGGCAAAACAGAAAAATGGTCACCAGAACTCCAGGTTTTCTTCAAAACAATCCTTTTATTCATTCTCACAGGTCATATGACCATGCGTGGCTACCATGCGCGGCTACGCATGGTGATATGACCTGTGAATATGAATAAAAGGATTTTGTTTTGAAGAAAACCTGGAGTTCTGGTGACCATTTTTCTGTTTTGCAAGTATTTGGCGGCGCCATCTGCGGCCACTTCAGCACCCCTCTACATTGTATGGGGCTTCTCGGTCAGGAGTGGTTGGGACTCTCTATTTGACGGCATTAGAAACATGGGGAAAATTTTACCAATTACAAAAATCGACATACTAGAAAAGGGATAGCACTAGTATTCTAACGAAGATCAGAATTACGATAAAAAAAGGTCAAGAAACCTATGCCATGGCATATTAATGTGTACAGATCTGTATCCATATGAATTGAATAAAGAAAAGAAAAAAACAAAAAAAACTACCTGTACTTCCATCTACGGGTATGCATGCTCACCACCCTTCACCTACAAATCAGCAGAGCTTTGTTTTTCACATTTTACTCTAATTTCACCTGGCCCCTTGAAAATGTGGAAAGAGTGGGACTCTCATTTTACAAAGTATACAGCTCATTACAACTGTTTAACCAACAAATATCAGGAATAGACACCATAGCCTGTATACAGCAACCTGTATTATAAAAGTGCTAGCAAACCCAGAACCACTTCATTTGCTCCCTCGTAGTCTGTTTGCAAGTAACAACATTTGAAAATACTTCAATATACCAAAATACTTGTTACTCTTGCCATAGATCCTGTGTTTTAAGTGCATTCTGCTGTGTTCTCTCAAGCAGTGTTATCCCTTCCATGTTCAGATACCCGCCCGGCCACCCCAGTGTCGAGGAGGTGGTATTCATTTCAATGGGCTGATGCTTGCATGACATACACAGCAAAGCAGCAGTTTGAGCTGTGAGCTTAACGTATTTGTGCACATATGGCACACATTTTACCGCCTGCATTTGGGGTGTCATTAACAAGTAATGGCACCACAAGTGCGTCACACTTTTTAATGCGTTGTGTGAATGGGGATTAAAAGATACCTGCTCTAATAAAACCTACTACCCAACTAACTCTTCACCCTCCTGATCAGAATTGTAAATCTTACAAACCTCAGAATGATACACTTCTGGTCAGTGTCGGGTCAGCCAGCAGAGTGCCCAATTCCTCAGTACATATTCCATTGAGTGCCTTAACAACACATGGGCACGAGGGCACATGGACCAAGTGTAATATGGACTTGAAAAGGCAATAGACAGTAGCAACATCTTCAACTATCACTGACGCTGATGAACAGATTCTTCAAGACGACACATGGATAATATGAAATATGGTCATCGCAAAAGGTAGTAAAATTATTTAAGTATGCATGCAGAGTTTTTAATTTTGATTTTTTTTAAACCCCCCCCCCCCCCCCAAATCTTTTTTTTATGTACGCGAGCTGTATATATTCTTCACTGCAATAAAACTATAAATCCTGACCTCTCTACTCCTCCTGATCCTTTCCCTCTTAATTCAGATAAGGGGCAGTGAACTCCTTATCTCATGTTCAATGTACTGCATGCCAATAACCATTTTTCCACAAGAGTTTTACTGCTGCTTACATTGGTGGTACAAGACAAGCAATAATTAAATCCTTTATAGAGACTTGCACAATACCCACAGCATAAAGGCTGCCTAAAATCATATCATATCATGGCTCTCTCTCAGCACAGCTTTCCTTTACAGCTTTCATGTTACCTCTTCATACACTTCTCTGACTGCAGCTCCACCGGGCTCTTCCTCTGGCTCCATTCCCCCTCCTGGTACAATCCACTGATCAGGGTAACGACTGCTGCTGACTAAGAGTATCTGCAATAGACAAACAAAAATATTGTATGTATCCATGTTTTTTTTTTTTTAGAAGAACACATTTTGCTCCAAAAAAGTACCTTTAAAGGGAAAATAGAAACAGAAAATACATAGAATGATTAAATACACTGACATTGGGAAACACAAACACACACGATTGCTTATTCCTGGAAGAGCTGCATGATGCTGCAATGTCAATAGTTCATGTGGGGAAGCTTGCAAGCCACAGATAAGGCAGATCTCCACAAAACCAACAGGTCAAATAGCCAAAACTTGAAAAAATTCCACACAAGTTTTTGGAACCCAGGTTAATAAGATCAAGCTGCACAGTGACTATTCACTTCTATGGTAAGCAGTAGTCCTGAACACAGAGTGCAGATTACAGAAGCATTCTGAGACACATAAAGAACACCTCTGGGAAGATTTGGGCCACAAAAATGTGCTGGTTATGCAGATCTGTATACATGACATCCCCAGTTCATTAGTGAACAGCCAGCCTTTAGTCATGTACAACCATGCATTATCACAAAACCCTTTACATGGCTTATTGAAAAAGTTGACAACTTTTTCAATAATCGATTATAATCGACTATGTCGATTAGTTTTTGCAGCCCTAGTTTGCATTGCTAATTTCTATCTTGGTTCAAAAGAAAAATGATACTCACCCGATCCTCTGAGCAAGCTTGTTCTTAGACCGGTCCTTCCTTCCAGCCCCTCTCCCACTCTGCTGCAGCGGTCTAAGGATCCTCCAGCCATCACGTTCTATACATTGAGGGAAATGTATCAAAACTGGGACAGAATCTGGAGCAGCTGCTTATAGTAACCAATCAGCTTCTCTTTTTAGTTTCTTCTGTTAAGCCTTGAAATCAAAAATAGAAGCGGATTGGTTGTCACGGTCAACTCCAGATTCTGTCTGTTCCAGTTTTCATAAATTCCCCTCACTGTATATTGGAAGTCAGGATGCTGAGGGATCTACCATCGCTGCAGCAGAGGAGGAGAAAAATAGTAAAATATAAAAGATTGGGGGGTCACGTTGGGTAAATAGATACAAAACATATCAAACCTTAAAATTTGCGGGCACCACCGAAAATCACAAAAAATTACCACACCCAAAATTGGCCATAGGCGACACTTTAAAAGCTTTTACTGCTTATCAAATTAGTGTTAACACAGAGATTGATGGCCCTAGAATTATTGCTTACGCTCCGACATTCAGTGATATGCAACACGTGCGTCGCAATTGTCGTTTTCACATGTAGGTGCACCTGATGTGCGTTTGTATTTAGGAGATGGGGGACACTAAAAAGATATATATATATATATTTTTTATTTTTTTACACATTGAACTTTATTGCTATCACATAGGAGGCTAACCAGCCCATGCACCCATACAAGTGATCAGGCGGTTCTATAGCCACCCAAATGCTTGTATGTAACAGCTGTTTACAATGATTACTGTGTACCTGTATGGCAACCTGCTGACTAGAGTGCTGTCCATCTGTTTATATAGAATGGTCAGACGGCAAGCAGTTATTCATGATCTTTTTAGAAACTTTGGCAATGATATACATTCATCTTTGCATAGGTCAACATTCAGAAGTGACTAGTTGTAGTTAAAGAACAAATTAAATATCTTGGCAATATCTACTGGCAGCTTCATCTAAAATCCCCAGAACTAATGGAGCCTTTACATTCCTTCAATAAGCAGAGTCATTCATTGTGGAACCCAGGCAGAATCTTACTCATTAAAAGTTAATAAATGCATTTTTAAAGGAACTCCAGGAATTTGAAATGTTTACCCTTGCAGTGGTATGGCTTAAGTGCTCATTTTGCATTGGGAGCAAAAATAAAGACAATATGCTTGCCTGATCCTCGGTCTCATCTGGCTGCTAGACCGGTCGCCGCAGCCCCTTATCACCCAGGCTACGGTGGTCTAAGGATTTCTGATACTGTATGAAGACAGAGGGACACACCACAGCCGGAACAGAGGGGGAGATAGGTTAGACGTTACTGCTGCAGGACTGAGGATCAAGAGAATATAAATTCTTTATCATCACCCCTAGAGAAAAACCTGCTGTTAAAAGGGTTAAGTTTCCAGAATCCAGGAGATCTTTAAACGCAACTTGCACAAGTACTTGAATTTGTCTTCATATCAGTCTCTTGTAATCCCCTATACACCAGCCTTCAGACTAGGAGGGGCAGCACAGGGATATCTGCTGAAGTGCAAATGTGCTGACTAGAGCTGCAACAGTTATTCGATTAAGTCGATTAAAATCGACGATGGAAAATGTTGTCAACGTTTTCCATCGTCGATTCGTCGGCTAAAATTCAAATTTCCTGCTCGCCGCTTACGCCCGCCGTTTACGCCACTTACGCCCGCTGCTTACGCCACGCCCACGTCATTTAAGCCGCTCGCGCCTACGCCGGAATACCCGCTCACGTGAACACCAACAGCTATAGAGGAACAACAAATCCCAGCAATAATATATTAAACACCCTGTATAATGTATTATTGCTGGGATTTGTTGTTCCTCTATAACTGGTCAGTGGTAATCTGCATTGCGCAGTATAATCATTATACAGCGCACTGCAGAATACCAGCAGCTATAGAGGACTACAAATCCCAGCAATAGTACATTATAGTATAATGTACTATTGCTACATTCCTCTATAGCTGCTGGTATTCTGTACTGCGCCGCTGTATAATGTACTATATTGCACACTACACTCTTTTTTTACTTCCACCGCGCCAAGCTTGCTCCCGTGATGGACTACAATCTCAATAGAAACTAGTAGTCCATCACTGGAGCCTTTTTTTATCCGATCGAAATTAATAATCGGCTAACTAATCGATTATGAAAATAATAGTTAGCTGCAGCCCTAGTGCTGACAGGAGTGAAAGAATGAGCAAAGGTTTAATCTCAATCACAGTGTGCTGCTTTATCACCATGCAAGCTGGGGAGTGTTTTGTCTCAGTGTTACTGACCAAACTGTAATGCTGCAGTACATCAAGGATCTGCTTGTGAAGTCTGGTAGGAGCACCTGGACAACATAGATGCTGTATATAGAATTATACATTGGTCAGGCAAAACAGCTCCCATATAGGTTAGTGAAGGTTTTTTTATTTATTTATCCAGGTCATAGTATAGCTAGAAGTAGTAGTAGTAGTAGTAGTAGTAGTAGTAGTAGTAGTAGTAGACTGGGCTTCCAGGTCAATGCAGTTTTCCTACATGGACATTCCTTTTGAGGACAACTGGTTTGTAAGGAGTTATAGAGGCCATAGGAGGTCAAACAACTAGGGCTGCAACAACTAATCGACAATCGATTACAATCGATGATTGAAAAAGTTGTCAACTTTTTCAATCGATTAATCGGCTTTTGATTGGTTGGCCCTGTTCACAGCTCCACATACGCTGCGCGCCACACCTCCTCCCCACTTTGCGCTCGCCGCTGCCAGACCCGCCCGGCCGCATCCACGCTCCACACACCGCACCTCCTCCCCGCCCACATCCACGATCGGCACAGGGACTCGGGGAGAAGAAGTGAGGAGCAGGTGTAGGAGGGTGGATGACCGTCACCGATAGACAGGCCCGATCTCAGAAATAAGTTGCTGGAAGACTGCTGAGGTAAGCCTACACTTTCCCACACATGGTGCTTTATAATGTATTGCTGGGATTTGTAGTCCATTAGTAGCACATTGCGCTGTACTGCATATTATACAGAGCAATGTACCATCAGCTATAGAGGAGTACAAATCCTGTATACTGTATGTATAATGTATTGCTGGGATTTGTTGTATTTCTATATAGCTTGTGGTATTCTGCATTGGGGTGTATAGAGGACTACAAATCAATAATACATTATACAGCGGAATACCACCAGCTATAGAGCAGTACAACAAATCCCATCAATAGTACATTATACAGTTGTGCAAAGCCGAATACCACTAGCTATAGAGGACTAAAAAACCCAGCAGTAGTACATTATACAGTGCAATGCAGAATACCACCAGCTATAATGTACTATTGCTGGGATGTGTTGTATCCCTCTATAGCCGATGCCATTCTTCATCATTGCTGTATAATTTTACATTTCACTATATTGCACACCACACTTTTTTTTCTTTTCTTTTTTTACTTCCACCGCTCCAAGCTTGCTCCTGTGATGGACTGCAATCTCAATACAAACTAGTAGTCCATCACTGGAGGCATTTTTTAAAATGTATTTTATTTTGCATCCGATTAATCGAACTTAATAAATCGGCTAACTAATCGATTTTGAAAATAATCGTTAGCTGCATCTCTACAAACAACCATCTTTGAACAGGGGTGGGGGCCTTCAACGCCATCTGTTTTAAACATATAATGCCAATTTAACATTTCTACCTCAGTGTTTTGATAATTTACACTTTCTGCCACGCAAATTGAAGGATTAACACCTACTTGACACCAAGGATGGGATTATGTAACCAGAACAGGATGGTACCACAACTTTCACACCTCCCATTCGGTTCTTGGACAAGAACACCCCTTCCCCCTCAGCCCTGCGGTCAGTACTCACCATTTGCAAGCGGGATTTAAAATACCAACTGCAGGGCTGAGCTCCTGTGTACGGACTATGTATAGAACACTGGCAGCCTTGGAGGGGAAGGAGGGTTTGCGCCAAGGTAAGAGCAACAAAGTGAAGGGGAGGGAGAGAAGGGGAGGGAGAGAAGGGGCAGATTGGCGGGAGTAATTCCATTTTTCCAAATTCACCTGGGAAAATGGAACAACAACCTTTTACCTATGATTAGTTCCCATATATATTTCAAAAGTATATGTAGTTTGCCTTCAGCTGTAAACAGATTTTGCTGGACTTTTGACCATCTGTACAAGTCTAATTGGCTGATATACATGTGTACTAAAAAGAGCACCATAATTCACACAGGAACAGACTGCCATGAGCTATTCCATTTGTAAAAAGGGGCACTGGAATTTCATTATGTTACTTAACATTGAATA